TCCAGCTTCGTGGAGCTGATCGAGCAGACAGTGATGCACATACGCTTTGGCATGATGACGCCAAGTGAGCTGGCGCATCTACTAATCGTCCCATTGATCGACTACCATAAGGAGTTTCTCGTGGAGCGCATTGCCATCGGCATGAGCTATCAGTCGGGCCAGGAGGATCGCGTACGCGAGGTCCGCAGCACAGAGTGCGGCGAACTGCAGTTCACACCGCGGCTCTACTGGAACGATACGTGGAGCGTTGGCATCGATGTGCACAATTTTGACAAGATCGAGGACTACAAGAACTATGTCACCTGCTTCTTTTCGCAACGCCACATCGCGGAGACCGAAGACGGTAAGTACCACTCCATCATGGTCACATGTCTCAAATGATCCACCCGTTTCCCATCCCGTTTTCCCCCATTTCCCACCATACCTTTGTATTTTTCATATATGCTCTCATCTTTCTAAATCGTGTGATCAAAATGCTTAGATCCCTGCATGACTTGGGAGATTGAGTTCTTTCCGCGCGGCGTAAAGTACAACAAGGCCAAAATGGTCTGTGGCGAAGATGTGCCCGGCTGTTCATTGAATACGGTGCGACTCCGAGTCACATGCAAGCACCAGAACATTGGCGAGGAACGATTTAAGGTGCGTATACCCTGTAATTAGGTAATGTAGTCGGCCTGCTAACAACATTATCAATGTATTGACTGATAGATTGCCGTGCTCATCGTTGGCGTGCAGAACAAGATATCGCATATACGCACCGTTGTCGAGCGTACGGAATACTTTTCGGACATAGCACGTGTCATCAATTTGGATAACCTGCTGCCGTACGAGGAACTGGAGCATACATCACCCTATTTAAGCCCCCATCTGACGGGCAATCAGCGCAATACGCTCTCCCTGCACGTTGTAATTACCCCTATGGGTCCGCACACCTGTCGTGACACGCCCCCATTTCAATTTTGAGCTGATCAAACCTGAGCACATGCCCATCTTTCGAAATACACACACACACACACACAGTGTACACTCGCGAATCTAGTTGTGTGTGCGTGTTAATTGTGTGTGCTTCGGAATATGTGTGTGGATTTATGTTAGATCAATTCAAAATTTATGTAGGAGAGTGTCGCCACTGATGTGCGCACACATATATATATATATATATATATACAAATGAATATGTATATATGTATATATACATATTTATATGTATAGCGAACGCGAAGACATTAGTTTATGGAGCCCGCTCAGCCCCTATATTATCCTAGTCGTTTGGAGCGTTGGCTCTTTGACATGCTTCCGCGTGCTCGAATTGTGTGCATAAACCTAGTTTTCTCTTCCAAACAATTATGAAAATCCATTGTATTAACGAAAATCATCTGACACGCAGATCGGCGAGGTTAGCGCATCAGTTTTTCTGCTGTACAATTCCCAGCTTAAGCATTATATATTTTCTAAGTACCGCTCTATGGCTCTGTATTTCTGCAATATATTCTGATTTTATTATTATTATTATTTTTTTTTTTTATTAATTATAATGTGTTCTAGTTTTTTTTTTTTTTTTTGGTTTGACATACGACTTAAGCAAAAGGTTTAGCAAAAAGGCCATTTACTTGATAATATATTTGTAGTTGCCTTTGAAGAGCATGTTTACTGGTCGCAATGCCAATAAACATTGTAACTAACTAGACTATGGAACGGACATTTTTCTAATAAACACTGATTTGTATAGAAAGATTCCGAGTTTTAACATTAAAGTTCTCAATTTTATTTATTTTTTTTTTGTATACGAATTCTTTTTAAGACCATTTTCTTATGTTACTTTCAAAAGTTAAACAGCTGCAATTGTTTTAAGCCAGCTGATAACTGTTTACAAGCCATGTCAATGTATAACAGCCCGGCGTTGCCACACTTGCGCATTTCGCTACCACGAGAATAAATTCAGTTGCAGTTAATTAACATGAACTTCGATCGTAACATGAGAGTACGGAGCTTAATAGTTTTACAATTTCCAAGCAAATACAATTCTTTGCTTTAAGTACCAACCATTCAAGATAATGCCGAACTATGCAAGGCTGTTGCCAACTTATGTAGCTATTACCCTGGCATTAGATAATAGTGCAAATGCGTATGTGTATGTGTTTGTATAGGTGTATATATGTATGTATTCCTAAGGCTTAAGCTTAACTATTTTACCTACTCTGGTTGTAGTGTAAATATCATGTATGAAGTTTTAATAACTACGCGGGTTTTGTTATAACATTATAAAGACAGCTTCATAAACCGAAAGCTAAATAAATATATATATATATATATATATATGTATATAAATATATATATATATATTAATAGGTATTGCGTCAAAGTGCCCATAGATAAGAAGAGCAAGGTACAAAATAGAGAGCGAAAGAGAGGCAGTGAGCGTGTAAAGAGAGAGAGAGAGAGAGAAAGAGAGAAGTTTTGACAGAGATCGAGATATATGTGTGTATAAAGAGAAAACTATTTACCCACAAAATCAAAAAGTTTTTACCAATATTATATAGGAATATCAACAATGTCATTTTAAAGCAATATTCTCAACTTTCTTTTGTTTGTCAATTGCATTGAGAAAGAATTCTGTCAATTTCTGAATACGCTCATAGTCTAGTTTATGTACGGCTCGCTCTGTGCATGGAAATCGAAAAAGAAAACCGACAACAAAAAAGAAATGAAACCAAAGCTGTATATTTATGCAATCTCTATTAGTATCTGTGCTATCATAATAATCATATGATTTCATTTATCAAGCTGCAAATTCAAAAAAAAATATATATATAAAAAAAAGAGAACTTGCGAAATTGTTGCAACTAACGAAATACATATATACATAATGTTACGGATCAGTAATATCCTAATTTAAGCATTTAAGGAATTCCGTATTGAAGCTCTTGAGATTAAATATAACTGACAATTATAAATGTTATTTATTTTTTTTTTTTTGAACTGTGAACTAGCTCCGGCATTATATTATTTGGAATCTAAGTTAATGACCGGCTCACAAGCCAATCGAATATTAATTGGCAAAAGCTAATGACAACATATATTTGTAACATATTACTTATCCATAATTGTTAATAAAATTCTGATCCAGACATAGCTTTATCATATTCTCAGCAATTCCAATACTGTTTGACAGTATTTGAGAAAGTAAAAACAAATTGAATTTAACCCCAGCCAAACGAAGAGCACAGCCTAAACTAAGTATATATATGTATATATCTACCTCTATATCTATATTTTGTTGATATTTTTATTTTTTATATATTTTAGATGAGTTGGGAGTGTGTACTAACTACGTAGTTCATAAGAAAGCAATTGCATATTTATCTAAGCATCTGGCGAGGCTGTTGACAAACTTTTGACTCTGTATACCGCACTGCACCACCAAAAGCCCGTGCACCACCAAATATACATGAAAGACGGAGAGTGAGAGTGGGCGCTGACTTGCACAAATTTTGGATGGTCGGCTATTCTTAGCGGTATCTGGGTGGGTATTTAAGTTTTATAGCACGCTCTTATTGTTGTCTTATATCACAGTCTTTTGTTATTGTTAGCCGCTTGGCTTTTCAAGCACCCTGTACGCATCGCAGGCCACGTAAAGGGTGTGCCAAATTCTTTGAAAACAATTAATCAACAATTAACTGAGTGAAAAATTTATATATGTATATACCTATATTCTGTAAAGATTTGTAATATTTAGTAATATGCTTGGATTTGGATTTCTGCGTGGGATAGATACTACCGTGTGGGTAACCGACAGTCGGGCATACCCAGCGACAGGTTTCACTTGCAAGTTTTTATCGGTTTGAGTGTTTTTTAGTTTATGTACTTATCGCTAGCCATCCATTGTTTTACAGAACCACCTTGTAATCGGCCCATTTAATAATGCCAGACGTACAGCATTATCCAAAGATAAATTATGCTTTAAGTGTCGCTCGGAGTTTTGTGGCTTCCCAGTTGAATTTTGACAGCGACAGCGACAGCGACAATAGTCGCATCCGAACTTTAGCTGCGCCTATAAAAAAACTCTGAAAGCCTTCGGATTAGCCAGACACCAGTCGAGCCTCTAGCCCAGTGCAGTGTACATCATTTTAAAAAGATTCGGTTTTTTTTTTTGTATTTATTTATTTATTTTTTTTTTTTGATAATCAAAGCTTAATGGATAATCCGGGCTATGTGATTGATTGCGAGCGCGAGTTCGGTGAGTTTTATCGTTCGAAATGGTTCCAACTGGTCAAGAATATAATTTATCGTTCCAAATGGTTCCAACTGGTTCCAACTGGTTCTAACACGGCTTAAGCTTATTAACGGGAACTAGTTCCGCAGCATTATTTTCCTAATTGAATTGTGACAAAAACAAAAACAAAAAAAAACGTGCTTTCCGGAAATATGTTTGATAAGGGCGCGTGTTTGTTCTCCACTGATAAGTGGATTGTAACGTTTATGTTTATGTCAGTTGTAAAGTTCATTGGGTTTTAATTAGTGAAAACAGAGATTTGTTCGATACCCTGCAAACAGTAGAATGTCCCAAGCGGGTAAACGTCTGAAACGTGCTACATGTCTTGAGCCGATTTACTAGAGAATACTGAAAAGGCGCTTAAGGATAAGTTTAAAGGAATTGCCAATAATTTATGCACGGATAGGACAATAATTTTTCAATATATATATATATATATATGTTTTTTTTTTTTGGATTTAGTCAGGATTTGTCACAATCAATATGCAAAGTTTTCTGATTTTCATATTGAGCTTAAGAATTTATTCTTGCCTAAAAAAAAACCAAACTTCTTTGGCGTTAATTCAGCTTTGCTTCACCCGAAAGAGATTCTTGGTATTTTAGTATTTTTTACTCTAAGCTGTTGTTTCTTGGCGCATTAACAGGGTAGCTGCGCGTCGATTACTTGCGTCTTGTTTAACGCAACTGTCGTTCGTTTGACTAAAGTTGGGCAAAAGGCAGTTGAAAGTTTTTTTTTAATAGTTTGTTCTATGCTTTATTATTGCCAAAATGACTTGTTTTTTCGTCTAAGTACACAACGTACATGTGTGTGTGTGTGTGTGTGTGTGTGTTTGTGTGTATTTTTGTTATTTAATATGCAAGTACATGTTCATCAGATACAAATACATTTACAGGATACAATTCTATGTCATAAAGCCATATAGTTTTCATATATATTTATCTATAATATATATATACATATATATATGTATATATATATATATGTGTATAGATATATTATCATTTATTCGTCAACTCAATTCTCTTGTGTAAAACGCGTGTTTTTTTTTTCTTTTTTCTTTCCTTGATTGTGGTGTGGATATGATATGGGGATCTTCCTCTTGTTGGGGTTTGCATTTGCAGCTCCTTTCCTGCGCCACAGCAGTTAATCAAACTGAATGTACGTTTGTGGATATGCCTTATTGGTTTATAACGAGAAACGAAATTATTGCCGCACACATCGGAAAACTAAAAGTTTTTAAATAGTTTTGATTTGGAAACATTTCATGAACGTTATCAAAATGAATTAAATAAATTTGTTTGTCAGATGTGCGGTGCCCGGTTCAAATCCATTCCATTTGCAACTCGCTCATTTACAATATTAAAAAAAAAAAAGAAATACAATTATCGAAATACTGAAAAACGTGAATATTTTGTTGACAAACATTTAAGCTAAAATCAAATGTGATTTGTAAAGTTCAATGCTGGGGTTGCGAGTTCGAACACAAAACACTTTTGTTTTGCTGTTCTTTTTTTTGTTTTCTTTGTCTCTCAGCGTGGTAAAAAATATTCGTTTTTTTCCGGATATTCGAATGTGTTTGCCAATTCGAACACTCAAAATTTAAGGGATTTTTTTTTTTAAACAAATCTATCAAACTAGCCGAAGTAAATATTTAAAAAACTTTAACTTTCGCATTTATCTACCGAAAATTGTAAACTTTCATTTGAATATAAAATTCGTTTGTTTTCTTGTTTTTTTTTTTTTTTTATCAAATTTTTACGTTTGTTGCTTTTGCGCATTTAAATATTGACTTTCTGATAAATCCATATATTTGGAAATACTCTAATATATTTGGTACGAATGCCTGACTAGATGATCCTAGAATATATTTATATATATATATATATTATATATGTATATGTATGTATGTATATATTGTTCTTGGTTTACTTTCTGGAAACGTAACCTTTTGTTTTTAGGAACAAACATTGTATCAAAAACCCTTTTTTGATCAAATTTCACTAAGAAAAAAAAACAGAAAAAAAAACGTTTAATTTTCTTTCGCTAATTTTCAACGCTGCCAAGTCGCAAATCTCAACTGAAGAACATTTTTGTTTCTTGTTGCTGTTGTTGTTGTTGTTATTGTTTTCTTTTAAGAAAAGGTATAAAAAACACACACACATATATATATTTTTGTACATGCACATGTACGAGCTTCATCCAATAATATTTATGCAAATATCCATAGCATACTTTTGAGGGCGGCAGAAACTTTGGTCTCGGTTTCGCAGGATTCGCCTCGAATATGAAACTCGGAATATGGTTAATATGTATATATGTATGTATATGTGTATATTATCGTCTCTATATAGCTATAGTGTGCTGTGCACCTTCAATGTTATATACAAATACCATATAAATTGTTAACGTTATCAATTGTTGTGTTCAATCTATGAAATATTCATGCAATTTGCCAAGCTGAACCCTCTCCGAATGCCGTGAGATCTATATATATATATAGATATAGATATAGATATAGATATATAGTTTTGTGAATTGTTGTGAGAGTGTATTGTTTTGGTTATGCTAAATTGTTTATGTTTCTGTTTTTAACTACTTAGTTATTGTTGTTGCCTTAAAGCAGTGTCCTAGGTGGGGTGTCGTTGCTTGCCGCTGCGAGTGACGCTCTATTTGGAGTGGGTCCCGTCTAGGTACATATGTATACAAGTACCTAACTATCGTAATTAACTATTTCTTTTATTTTTACCTTTAACTATAACTATTATTGAGTATTGCGTTCGCCGTGTTCTGCCTTTGTTGTGAACGTGTCTGTCTGTCTGTGTGTGTGTGTGTGTGTGTGTGCTTTGGTTCTAGAAAGTAGGTTAAGTAATGCCCCTCTATATAGTTTTTTTTTCTTTTTTTTTTCTTGATATAGTTAAATATATATATATATATATATACGTAGTGAAGGTGTGTTTATTGTTATGTTTGTGGTATTTATCAGAGTTTTTAGCTTTCTTCTCTGGTTTACAAATTATTTGAGCACAAATTTTGGGGCTGGGTTCCTCAATAGAACCCTTTAGTATAGCCAAAAACGATTCTATAGATTGGGCTTATCCAATTAATGTCGTATAAATAGTGGCTCGTTTCCACTGGGCTGCGTTTCCAACATATTTTTCAAGCTCCTGTTAGAGTTAGGTGCCGTTTTAACATGAAGTTTAATATCAAATTTTGGCATGGCAGTGTTGCCACCTTTACAAAAATCAAACAGCTTCTGTACGACAATTAACCTTAAAGATTTGTGTATATCGTGCTTTCTGCTGTTTGTTTTGGTATTTAGGATTACTAATACTTAGTACTTAGTTCCCTACAATTTTTTTAAGTGTATGCATTACTGCAAACAGTTTAGAGGGAAAAATAGAATTTGAGTATTTCGAGTATTTAACAGGTGAAATTTACCAGCAGCTAGATTTAGCAGCTAGTTAATCTGCCTTGTAAATATTCTGCAAGTCAGATTGACAATGTGGCCGCCTTGTAGCTGCGTTCTGAAAACTTGTTGACTGCGTTGCCAATCTGAAAACCTTCTTAATCAAAACCATTTCAACTAACATGAACTTTACAAGGCAGTTGAGAAAAGCTGCCCCTTTCACTGTTCACAGTCGAGTCAAGCAGCTAGAAGAGCTCTCCATTGTTACATAGAAGAGAATAACCTAGTGGAAACCCCTGTCACATTCAACTCTGATATATACTTTATATATATATATGTGTGTGTGTGTGTGTGTATAGGTGTATTTGACGCATCTGCCGTTGCTTTGGGAATATAGTATAGTAGTACTTGTGATATGAGAGTGTCCGAGTCTCAATTCCGTGCCAGAATTTTCCAGCCATCTGGTGCATGCCAGATGCTTAAAGTAAAGTATCTTTAGCTAAACTTTGGCCAACTATTCAACGCTTTGTGTGTGTGTGTGTGTGTGTGTGTGTTAATGGGGCAACATTTGCAGCGCTTACTTCTCGAAGATTAGCTCGCCGGTGAGGAACGGATTGAGGTAGGTCTGCGCATCATAGCCGGACACGGTGGCCGTGGTGGTGCGTCGTCGCACCTGGGCACCACCCAGGCCGCGTCGCTCGCCATGCGCATGACTGTGGCTGTGGTGCGGCGAACGCTTCTCGCTGTTGCTCGGACTAAGGATCAGCGGTATGGGCATCGAGGTGTACAGCTGCAGCGGCTGCTGCACTATGGTGCCGGCTGCCGGATTCAGCGGTGTGTCCATATAGCCGTGTGGTGCCGCCGCCGTTGGCTGCTCGCCCAGCGCATACCCGGCGGAGGCTGTGCTGCTGGCCGGCAATGCGGAGCCACCGCGTTCCGGCTGCTTTTTCTGCCCAATGCCGCCGGAACGTCCACGATGATGCTTGTAGTGGCCAGCGCGATGGCTCTTGCGTTTCAGATGTGCCATGCCCTCCGCCGGCGGGGATGTATCCAGCACCAGGGGCATGTGGTGCGCCGATCTGTCCACATTTGACGGCGGCTCCAGGCGATAGGCGCCCGGAATGCTGCTGCCGCTGCTGCTGTTGTTGTTGTTGTTGTTGTTGGAGTGGGCGACGAGTGGTTTCTTGAGCGGCTCACGCAAGTGCGGATGCGGATGTGGATGTGCCTGTATAATGGTGGCCGTGGCGAACACCTCCTGGAAGCGATTGCTCGCCTCCAGCTGCTGCAGCTGTAGATGTTGCTTCTGCAGGAACTGCTGGCGCTGCATTTGCAAATGGTTCAGGATGCGATACTGCTCGAGGATGTGCTTGTAGAACTGCTCTGCGGTGACTTCCGATGAGTTTAATAGGCGTATGGCAATCTTTTCGGGTATCACAATTTTGTCTGCAACGTTAAAGCGGAAGAAGTAATCAAACTACGGGCAGCAATGCCCAACCGACAGATACCCTATGTCTACCCATGAACAGTGTTCTACTTCCCGTCCTTTTGATATACCCGGCATCCATTTTGAATGGGCCAAAATGTACATGTGTAACAGGCCTAAGCCACCCGACACTCTATATTATATAAATGCCTTATCGGGCCCAAGTTTTTTGTTAAATGAACGATAGCTCAGAGTCGGGAGCGCTACACGAGCGAGTAGACACAAACCCAGAATATTCAACTGTCTGGTTTAACCACAAACTTTTCCCCCCAAAATAAGCAACTTATTTATAGAGATAACGCCTTGGACTCTGGGATACACACACTTCTGCATGTCATTTTGAAGCTGTGAAAATTTCAATAAGATCGGACCACAAACACCGAAGTTAAGCAGGGCCTGGGTTCTAAGAAAGTAACTGGAATGTTTGGGACAGCAGCTCGTGCCGGGTTGCAGAGTATCTGCTAGTCGTGCCTGTCCGACGGAAGCGCTCAAATCCTAACGGGGCTACTTTATGAAATGCATCAGTGAATATTATTCATAATATAGCCAGAACACATTTTTGGTTTGAACCAATTTCATGGCTGGTGACAATGCGATTATTGAACCGCAAAAGCTATGCACACATACATGGGCGCGCGCACACATACACACGCATGAGATAGCCCATTGACCCAATTTCGAGTTGATTTACAACACTAAAAAAAAGGACAAATACAACAAATGCAAAAACACAAGCATGCTAACTCGCACGCCGCTTCGGCCCAACGAGAACCGCAAAAGCCGACAGTGTTCCGAGCGATTACCGTTACCGTTACCGTTATTGTAAGACACACCCCCCGCCCACCGGTCGTCGTCACTCTTCATTTAGCGAGAGGCGATGAATCGGTTAGAAATTGCATGGCAGGGCAGAATGGGCTGTAGCCTAGTTGAAAGCCTGTGTTCCAGTTTGATTTAGTGGCGCGTCCGCAGCCCCCGCCCGTCCTCCTACACCACCCTGCTGACTGGCAAATGTAGTTAACGTTACCGTTAAGTTTGGGATTAAACGGTCATTGGTATGATTAGCCAGCCCGCGCACCTGCCGCACTTACCGCACTGATTGGCCTTGGTAACAAAAGGCCGTATGGTCGGATCCCATATGAATATATAGTATAGCGACAGCATTATGGCCGCCAGCGATACGCAGAGCACATAGACGGCCACCGTTAGGATGCGGATGACCTTACGGTTGCTCTGCTGCGGCTGATAGCAACAGCTTATTGTCTCCGTTGGCGGCAGTTTCACTTTCTCCTCGAGCGAATTGACTTTGGAATTCATTTTCGTTGTTTCTAGTTGCTGCTGCTCTTGTTGTTGTTGTTGTTGTTGTTGCTGCTGCTCTCTTTTGATTCTCGTTGTGTTTGTTTTTCTTATTTGATTTCGTTGCCAGTTTTGATTGGGCTGTCTTGTTAATTATTTATTTCTGCTGTGCACTTTCTTATTTCTTGTTTCTCTTCTTTTCTTTCTTATTTTTTGATATGTTCAGCTTCTTTTGTGTTTGGATTTTCGCGTTTGGCAGTGCAATTGGTTAGTCTAGTTGTTGTACATAAATGCAAAGTTTTTGTAGTTTCTTGTTGTTGTTATTATTATTGTTGACGCGTCGCGCTGCGCTTAACAGTTACAGTTTACAGCCGCCGTCGCAGTCGCAGTCACAAAAAAAGCTGCCAACCGACGCGTCGAGCGAATGCAATCGAAATGACGCCCCAGCACAAAAAGCTTCAGTCGTAAGCAGAGCCTTTCTGCTGCTGCTTCTGTTGCTGTTGCTGTTGCTGCTGCTGCTGCTGCTGCCGCTGCCGCTGCCTCAGTCAATGCAGGAGTCATCGGCAGCGGCATCGGCATCGGCTGCTCCTCGGCTGCGGCACTTCGTGCGGTGTAGCCTTCGTGTCAGGCAGCCGCATCTCTTTCTCTCGCTCGCTCTCTTCCTCCCACTCCAGCCAACAGCCCACAGCGATCCTCCACAATGTGCTGCGCCTTTTCGGCATCTTTCGCATATAATTTCATTCATAAAATGCCTGTTTACTCCACGCCAGCTGTCAGCCGCTCGCTGCTTGCTGCTTGCTGCTCATTTCGCTCATTTTCATTTACATATAAATTTCGACGCCTGCGTCGGCATCGGCGTCTGGATGCGGTCCGTTAGTTGTCGTGTTCTTCTGTTTAACTGCAACTGGCACGCGCCGCTGGCATTCCAAACAAAAACATAGCCAAGCTGCTCTGTAACTGCGACTGCGGCAGCGACTGCGGCAGCACATCGGCACGTCTTGAGGCCTGTCACTGCTTTATGTGTCAAGAGCGCGACGCCCACGCCCCACGGCCCACGGCCCACGGTCGACGCGCGTTTTGGTTGTTTATTGCACGCGGAAATGCAAATGCGCGCCTGATTTTGCCCGCAAAATGGATGATTAATAAATAAATAATTGAAAGAAAAACAAAAAAACTGTTTTAACATCTATCAATTTGGCGTTAAATTGAAATGAAATCATGTTCCAAACATTTCTCGCCAATTAATTGCCATTCTCCTCTATTTCGCGGCAGCGGTCGCAGCTGCGCTGCATTTGCCTGCAATCACATCTGCCTGCTTTATGTGTGACCATGCCCGCGCAACCTTCGCAGGCGGCTTTGCGAAGGACAACAGCGGACATGCATACATATATACATATGTATGTGTGTATGTACATATGTAAATAAATATGCTTGTATTTATTGTTTTTGTGCGTTTTGCCTGGGCAACTTTCGCTGTTGGTCGTCCTGCACCTGCACCTTTCGCTTCCAAGCGCCATGCGCTGCTTTATTGCTTTTTGATGCTCTGCACTTGAAAGTTGCCGAATAGGGTATACCCACTTGATTGTAGCTTGCAAATTTAACAGTTAGCACATCTCTTAAATATCAATAGTTGCAGAGTGCTCGAAATGCGTACAGTGAGAGCAGTAAGAAATGTGGCCTGTCTCTTCTCTTCTACCACGAGCACTCTTATATTTTCCAACGCCAGCGCAGCTCAGCAACAAAATGGCCGATGAAAAGCAAACGGATCGTAAGCTCGTCACAAAATTGAATAAATTTACATATATTTGTGTTTATATTCTCTTCTACTAGCATTCTTCTAGTCTGCATACAAAATCCAATCCTCTTCGTATACATATGCTGTTGCAATTGATACAAGTTAACTTATACTAGCTGCATTATGTATACGCCCTGTAAAGCTTCTGTTGTATTATTGTAAGCTAGCATTAAGCTCTTATATAACTCTTATATTGCACAGCTACAGGGTATTCGCCTAACGTGTCCTCTCTGCACTGCGCAAAACTTTTACTTGTTTTCCATTTCGATTCGGCAATCCGTTCGTCAGCGGTCGGTCGGTCGTTCGGTCGTTCGGTCGCCGTTGGCTGGAGGTTAATAATCTGCAACTGGGTCACTAGGACAACGGCAAAACGAATGCAACTAAAAGCTGGCAGGCACAGAGCGCAAGAGTGCCAGAGAGCAAGAGAGCAAGAGAGTGAGAGCGCGATAGTGTGAGAGCGGACATCGGCTTGGACTCCGAACGATTGCAGCGTTTGGCCATTGATTTTGTTGAATAAGCGAGACACACACACACACTCGCACACTCGCACACACGTACACACATTCATCATGTGGCTCGCCAAAATGTAGGCCACACGCCCAGTTTCAGTTCTTGCACCCACACACACCCCCGCACACCAGGCCAAGCGACTGTAACATTGCTTGCAAATGGCCCTCAAGGATTCCTTTCAGGTGTCGCGCCACCTTGAACAGGAAACAACTCAAAACAGTGCATGATAATCTGATATACTCTTTGACTGCCAACTAACTAACTGTATTCCAGTTACGTATAAGTTGGCTTATATGCCCACTCTTATACTCGCCAAAGAGCTGCATCAAAAAGCTAATTTGGAGTGCGATAAATTTGTGTGCTCTGAATGAAACTTTATAGAGGGCGTGCTCGACTTGCTGTTACCCTGCATGCAAAGAGCTCTGATATATAAAATATAAGTTCACTGAGAACTATTCAATTATCAGGCGATTTTCAAAAAAGATAACGGGTATATATAGTATATACAGAGTACATATAGCGAATATATAGTATAAATCGCCTTAGAATGCGCTTGAAAATAATTTGAAATATCTGATTTGTCGGAGCTTCAGGGATATATCAATTATATCTGACTGTGAAAATCTATCAAAAGACCCAAGTGCTACAAGTTTCATCTGATATAAGACTATATATATATAAAGAAGAAGAAATCGTAACGCTTTGCCTTACCAACATGGGCATCTGGTCCCGGGCTGCGCAAAAGGCATTAGCCAAAAGCCGGCGGCTTCTTTGGACCCTTGAAGACGGGCGGCATGCGCGAGTCCCAGAAGAAGATGTGATAGATGGACAGTATGAAGCCGAGGCTGCAGAGACCGCATAAGTAAATGACAAGGATAAAGTAGCGGGCGAAGCGTTCCGAGCATGTTGGCTCGGCGAACACAATCTCCTCCAGCTGCGGCGATTTGGGCACGTACGAGTAGGCGGCGCGCCGGGGCGTGCCGCTGCTGGCGAGCCGTACGCTGCGCGAGCTGCCAATGCTGGACGGCTCCTGGTCGCGCACATTGGACCCAATGAGATTGACAATTTTGGCCAAGTTAACATTGACCGCCGGCGTCTCGGCTGACATGCTGAACCGATCTCTGAACGTGGAACTCTATCTATCTATCTATCTATCTTCTGGACACGGGCCCTGGACTGGCCTGGCTTGGTAAGCGTCGCACCGATTACTGATTTCATTTTATTGACGCTGACGTCGATTAAATCAAAATCGGACACGGATGACGCAAGCGAACGTAGAGCTGGCCCACTCGGTACGGCTGGCTGTCCGGGCTTTGGGGCCCTGCGATTTAGTGGAACGTGCTAAAGCGGATTAGTTTTATGCGTGTCTGTCAGCTTTTTTTCTCTTCTCTTTTCTCTCTGCATATCTGAGGGTCCAGAGCCCGGCGAAGGCAACCTCTTGTTGGTAACCTTAGTCCGGCACCCTAGACCCTACCTTCATTCGATTAGTTGCCCTCACGCCCTCTAGCTGCCCCATTAATCCGAGTGTTTAGTCAAAGCAAATGCCAGACAAAGCCGGCTAACTAAAACCCAATCCCCAATCCCCAATCACCAATCCCCAATCCATGCGGTACACTCACCCAAATAAAAGGTTTCGATGATGGTTGCGGCGAGGGGTCTTCCCTATCCCGGCTTAGCCAATTGGATGCGTATGCTTGAAGACGGGCAGCGGCGGCATGCGTGAGTCCCAGATGAATAGATAGTACATGGCCAGCGTTAGGCCCATGCCGCTGACGCCGCCCATATAGAGGATTAGGGTGAGGAGTCGGAATGTTTTCGATTCAAAGAAATCATCCGATTTGGGCACAGGAATCTCCTCGTCCTTGGCCTCCTTGACCACAGCGGCCAGGTTGGTCAACATTGACGGCGACGCCATACTCTCCCTCTCCCTCTCTCACTCTCTCTCTCTCTCTATATATATATATAGGTGTAGATATATATTTGTAACTGTATTTAACCCCAACGAGAAACCGTTCGAATCTGCGGTCTTCCACGGCTTGGCGTCTCTGGAGGCGAACTGAATGGCGGCGGGCGCTTGGCGTTGCGCTTTGCCACATTTGCTGTGTGTTTTGCGGTTTCCATTGCTGCTTCCTCTTCTTCTTCCTCTTCCTCTTCTTCTCCTTGTTCTGCTTCTTCTTTGTGCTCTCTGCTTCTGGTCGAGCGATTTGGGCGCTGCCCTCATGTCCGAGCCGGGGCAGCGTCTTGACCGCCACGCTAATAAGATTCGATACCCCGCTGCCTTTACATACCCCCTTCTTCGCCCCCCCCCCCCCCCCCTCTACCGTGCTCTTGTGGCACCTGGTGAGGCACATAACGTGCGCTATTCTTTGACCACTTGACCTGGTTTGATTTGTTGTCAACGTTGCGACGTCATTTATTTTGTATACCCTGTGCCCAGCAAAGGCGCTTAAATAAGGGTATATTGACTATGTGAGAGGTTATGCAACAGGCATAAGTTGGCATCTGCGCCTTCATTGAGCATATTTCCCAGTGCAGAGAAAAGCTAGACTTTTACTTCTCGTTTTTTTTTAACCACATGTTAAAGTGTCTGTTAACTTTAAGGCAAGAAATATATTTCAAATTTGGAATATATCCTTTCCTTACTTTTCTTTTTTTTCGTAACGGCAAAAGCGCGTGTTAAAGTGCCTGTTAAATTTGATGCGAAAGTCAAATCTAGCTACCATTTGAGCCAAGTTTTGTGTTGAAGTCTTGCATATGTTTGAAAAGTTCTCTAATTTTAATCAAAAATAGGGTAATTGGCATTTATTGAATTATTGTAGGGTATGCGCTGGTCGAGCTGCTCAATTTGTTATTGGCAAATCCAATTAGAAAACACAACAGTCGTAAGTTGTGTGTGTGTGCTTATTTTGCTCAAGGGTATGGGCTAGTGTGTGCTTGTGCGAGATGGCGGTGGGGTAGCTCGGCTGGGACTCACCTCTTGGTACTCGTGCACCTTCTGCACCGGCTGGCCGCCAATGGAGACGGGAAACCTGAGATGAATGTCCGGCATGCCGGAGTCAAAGAATATGAGATAGTATAGGGCCAGCGCCATGCCCAGGCCACTGATGCCGCCCAGATAGATGGCAATGGAGATCAGGCGAAAGGTTCTCGACTCGAAGAACGCCGACGTTGGCTGCTCCTTGGGCAGACGCACATCGTCCGCCAGCAGCTCGGGCGAGCCAGTGCTTGCGGCCGCGCTTGCCATCGCAACTAGGCCCGTTCCATGACGGCGTCGCTGTACTTAAGGCGTTGCCAATTATGCAAATGAGCGGGCGGATAATAGTTTAAATGCCAACTGACAGCCGGATTGACATTGACACAGACACTGATTGATCGTGATTGACGTGCGACTTATTGCAGGCACTGTGGCGAAATGCGGCAAACCGGCCGCATGCCGGGAATATAGCTTCGAGGAGGCGATCACACTGACGGGCGTCGGACGGTTCCACCTGAAGCTGCTGCTCATATGCGGACTGTGCTTCATGGCCGTCATGGTGGAGATAATGGGCGTCAGCCTGATCCTGCCGCTGGTCAAGTGCGATCTGATGGCCACGCTCGAACAGCAGGGCATATTGGCCTCCTCCGGTTTTCTGGGCGTGGTGCTCAGCTCGCACGCGATGGGCTTCCTGGCGGATACGTGGGGTCGTGTGGCCACGCTGCGCTATGCGATGCTGTTCAGCGCCATCTGCTCGGTGGTGTCCGCCTTTTCGGTTAACATTTGGATGCTGATTGTGTTCCGCTTCCTAACGGGCTTCTTCATCTCCGGCGGACAGGCGTGCGTGTTCAGCATGTGCGGCGAGTTCCATGGCAATAAGTCGCGTGTGCGCCACGTGACGCTCCTCTCCTGCTTCATGTGCATTGCCATGATGTTTGCACCAGGTAGGTTCAAGGCTCAACGGTTTGAACAGTAGCCTAGCCTTTGCTAATCCTCTTCCTCCTCTTGCTCCTTCCGGCTCGCCTCTCCTGCCTGCTCTCGCAGCTGTGGCCATTGGCATTCTGCCGCTCCAGCTGAATGGCTCGCTGCTGGGCTTGAGCCTCTCCTCGTGGCGTGTGTTCCTCATCGCGGATGTCTCTGTGTCTGTGCTGGCGCTGCTGGGTCTCTTTCTACTGCCCGAGACGCCCAAGTATCTGCTCGTCCAGGGTCGTGTCGACGAGGCGCTCGCAACGCTGCGCCGCATCTACGCCTCGAATTCGGGCCGATCCTCGGCCGAGTATCCAGTGCAGCGTTTGGCCACGCAGAGCGGCGGCGCCAGTTTGTCCAGTGTGCACGGTTTCTGTGATGCAGTGCATCTCATCTGGCAGCAGACTGTGCCGCTCTTCTATCGCAATCGAGTGCTGCACACGCTCAACATTTGCACTATACAGTTCCTCATCTACGGCATCGCCCAGGGCATCTTCATGTGGTTCCCCACCATACTCAACGAGCTGGGCAAGCAGAGCGCCCACGGCTCGCTGCTCTGCACCGTGCTACAGGGCTTCAATGCCGCTAGCGAGACAACCGCGAACGGCAGCTGCATCATGACCGCCGACATCAATACCTACCAGGTGATGATCACCATTGGCGGCGCCTTCACCATCATCTACTTGATATTTGCCTACACCATCGATCTGATTGGCAAGCGGAATCTATTGAGTGAGTATTTTGCGCAAGACAAATCCTAGCCAAATCCTTGACATCTCGCCAATCTCTCGCTCGACTTGCAGTTGGCTGGATGCTGCTCACGATTGTCTGCCTGGCGCTGCTCAACTGGCTGCGGAACTTCGCCCTGGTGGTGATCGCACTGACTTTGGCCATGGCCATCGGCAACTGCGGCGGCCTGGTCAGCACCATTGCAATGGACTTCTATCCGACGCAGATAAACGCGATGGGCATGTGCTTCATCATGATGGTGGGCCGGCTGGGCGCCGTTGTCGGCAGCAATCTGCTGGGCCGGCTCATGTTTAGCAGCTGCGACGCCAGCTTTTGGGCCGTGCTCGGCCTGGTCATGGTGCTCAGCGTGATGGCATACTTTCTGCCCGACCAGGCCAGGCCCAAGGCCAGACGGCAATCCTCAGCTGCCGTCGCCGCCGCTGCCGACAGCCAGGAAATTAGCTCTAAGTAACTGTAGCCCCTACTATCTAACTATGTAGTTATATTAAAAACAACAACAACAACAAAAACTAGATGAATTCTACATGGAACGGGAACGTCAATGGGAACGGGTATGAGAATGGCAACGAGCTGGAGGAACTGGAACGAGCACGGGCATGGGCACGGGAACAGGAACGGGAACGAGAGCAATTGCATTGGAAATGGATTAAGTAAATGTTTGTGCTCATTTTTACAGTTGTTGTTCTTTAATACCCTGTAAGCCAAATGTGCGGCTGGATGGGGCATATTCAGTCGATAGAAGTTTTTGTAACAAACAATATTTTCTTCTTCAAAATCAGCTTGGAGCAGATTTTCTATTGAAATGGAACTAGAAAGTAATCCCCACATAATTCCGATCAAATCCTATCAATTGCTTGATGCGGAAGGGGTTTCACTTGAACCTAGTCTAGATAAGATATAAGTTATAGATATAAGATCAGATATGCATAGGGAAATGCTAAGCTCGTGAAGCATGCGAAACACAAGCACATGCACCATAAAACCAGAAACTAGGTATTCGTTTCAGGCTCTTACTTAAGCAAGGGGTATCTCATAGTCGTGCACCCAGGGCTGGAGCTGTTGTCATTGACGTTAGCTGCTGCAGCTGCATTAACATTCTTGACATTGCCTCGCTGTCTGTGTGTGCTTGTGTCGTGGGGCGGCAGAGTGGCAGAGTGGCTCTTGGGGCGGCACAGAGTCGCCTCTAAACGCATTCCAGCCGCATCGCCGCATCGCCGCATCGTCGGATAGCCGCATCTGCAATCGTAAGTGCGCTGTTTATTTATACAGTGAACGGTGTTTGCACCACAGTCTGAGCGATCTCTGCCCAGTTTGAAGAGTCCGAAGAGTCCGCCCCAGCTGCCAATCATAAATACAAGTACGTAACACACACGTTGTCATTGCCAGGCGGCATCTGGCATCGGGACCAGCCTAACTGCGCATTTGTCGACTTATATGGCATAGACAGATAACCAAATAACAACTGCCAGTCCCAGTCCCAGTCCCAGTCCCAGTCCCAGTCATAGTCCCACTGCCCGTGCCCGTGCCCGTGCCAGTTCCATTAGCCAGTTCCGTTGCACAGTGGAGCAATTAAAGCAACTTGCCGACGCACAGTGGGCCCTACAGACAAAATGATGCTGTAGCCATGTGATCTCAATCTCAATCAAATCAAGTATTCCCTACAAAATGGGTCGAATAGAAATCCGTTCTGTATATATTATATAAATTATTTCTGTCTGATTGATTGACTGATTGATTAACTAGACAAGCAATCCCAAAAAAGAGGTCAAAAAAAGCTTCAAATCAAGTATTTCCTACAAAATGGGTCGAATAGAAATCCGTTCTGCATATATTATATAAACTATTTCTGTCTGATTGACTGACTGATTGTCTGATTGACCATCACTGTTCACCCTCAATCAATGAGTAGAGTTCAATTTCTATCCATCTCAATGAATTGAATTCTAAAATCTTCCCTTAATCATCATCAATCATAGCTCACTTTCTACCAATATTCCACCCGTCTTTTATCTATCTATAATCCATCTTATATAGTATATATATTTTTCTCTATTCTTTGTGCTCTATTTATCTTCTATCGCTTTACGCTTTATTATCATCAATCAGTTTTCTCAATCTCTTCTTCCATCTTCCCTTTCGAATCATCAATCATCATAGATCTATAAGTAGAGCTCTTTGCTTGATCCATTTCACATATATATTTTTCTCTTGCTCTCTTCTCTGTGTGCTCATCAATCATCATCAATCATGCTACCCAATTTCTATCTATCTATAATCGATCTTCTACTTATCTATCTTATATTTTTCTTCTATCTTCTATGTATGGTATATTTTTTGTAACTTCCATGCAGTTTATATCGTGTGCTTCATCAATCTAACCTATACCGCAATACATCTATATCTACATCTAATAGGCTGCCCCTGCTTTCCCCTTCCGCCGTTGCCATTCGGTTTTTTTTTGTGGGCCATGATTGCTTTCTGTGGGGCGTGTCTGTGTGGCATGTGCATCTGTTGAGTGTGGGCCGCCAGAGCACTAATGTCGCGGCAATTAAGGAGCAGCAACTGTCGTTCATCAATCATGGCAACCAGGTAGAAGGCACTGCCGACTGGGGTTCGCGTATGTTGACCCACAATGGGCCACAAATTAGGCGGCAAGTGTGTGTGTGTGTGTGTGTGATGTGTGTGATGTGTGTGGTGCGGCTGCTATGCAAATAGAGAGACAAGTGCCAGCAATTGAGGGTACTGGGCAGAAGAAGCAGGTGGCGCTCGTCTACGTTGACTGACTGCTAACTGGGCAACAAGCACGACAGCAACAACATCTTGAAGAGGACGCCCCACAAGCGACGTGCCGTGAAATAAAATCAGAGATAAAAGTCGCACGTCCAAATGGAGCAGCATCAACTGGCTAAGAGCAACGGCAACTTCAACTGGCAAATGGCAAAAATAGTTAAATAGTCGACTTAGGCAAATTGGCACGAGGCGATCGCAATGCCAACTGGCAACCGGCAACTGGCAAGCGGCAACTGGCCAGTGGAACAGCAATCGGAGCAGCAACTGACGGCAGGTGAGTTGAGGAATTACAATGATGCGATGCCAGTCATAGAACGAGGCGACGTTAATAGATTTACACGCCAACTGAAACAAGCCAGAAATGAAAGACAACAACAACAGCAACAGCAACAGCAACAGCACGGCAGCAACTGTTGCTGATGATGCCAAATTGAAAAGTAGACTGCGCATGCGTGGAATGGGAATGAGAATGAGCACAGAATCAAACGCAGAACAACTGACAAAACACACAACGAACAACGAACTGTGCAACTGTGCAACTGTGCAACTGTGCAACTGTTGCAGCTAAACAGTTGCCACAGCATACAGTTGCCGTTGATGACCAACAGTTGCCCGGGCAGCGGCAACATTGTTGCCCAGTTGCCCAGTTTGCCCCCGTGTTGCACGGCTCGCCCATGTACAGCTAATGAAGCGAGCGGATGCGGCGCTTAGGCGCAGCAATCAATTGTCTTTCACTGTCTGGCAACTCTGTTCAAATGTGCATA